CCAGTACCGGACTTCACTCCAATTTCGCGGACGGTGCGAGCAGTCCCGAGCCCCAAGCCAACCAACCCAAGCCAAGACGTCCCAGCCGAGCCGAACTTTCGAGACTAAGGTAGGCACCCCCCCTATGGCGTCAAGAATTGACTTTGAACTCTTATCTAACCCTACCTACCCCTTTAACCATGTATCTAAACATGTACCAAATGAATGCAAGCACGGGCTAGACCAAAACCTGTCCCAAAGGGCTCGTACAGCACACAAAGCTTTCACACATGGAAACCCTTGCCTGCATTCATTGCCCAAACCCCAAATATTTACATGCCACCATTCTAATCTCACACCACGCAACTTTTCATACCCACAACATATAAAGCCACCACGACTTCAACCTACAATTCCAATAATGCCCAAAAAAGTGTCCGTACACCGACACAGCTCACCCACTTACCACACAAAATCCATACATGACCATACATCGCCACGCCATAACCACGCAAATGTACCTCACAACATACACGCACCCATACGTCATCACGCAACAAACACGCACAACCCGCACAACAAACGCAACACGCGCGCCAACAGACGACAACAACAAACAAGCGCATGCACAACCGTTAAGAATAATACAATCATCCCGTCTACACAAAACATAGAAAAAATTCACGCCACCAAACAACCACACAATCGAAAAACATTGCGATCTTTCCTAATAGCTGTGAACGCCTATAAAGAGTTCATTCCGGACCACGCCCGCTTGCGGACGCCACTTGTCAACCTTCTAAAAAAGGATGTCATGTGGGTCTGGAGTGACGAATGCCAGAAAGCGTTCACTAACCTGAAAGAAAGCCTTACCACACACCCCACATTATACCTTTACCAAGAAGGTCTGCCATGCCAGGTGTACTGTAACACCTCAACATTCGGCATTGCAGGCATTCTTAAACAAGTCTACCCTGATGGGAAGACATACCCAGTTCAACATTTCAGCCGCTCACTGCGTGGTCACGAGCGAAATTATTCAGACTTGAAACTACAATGCCTAGCCATTGTGGAAAGTGTGGATAACTTCCGCGCCTGTCTAATGGGCAGAAAGTTTACAATACTTTCTGACCATCCTGCATTGCAGTGGTTGAAAGAGATCAAAGCCCCATCAGGCAGATTGTTTCGATGGAGGTTAAGACTGTCAAGATACGAATATGAGGTCCGTAGCATAAATGGAGTACAACAATATGAAACGGGCGTTGTAACTCGTATCCCATTTTGTGGCTTTCTAGATGCGCCACTCATAAAGAGCCAACAGTCTTCTCCACCGGGAAAATCTCGCGTGACTATGGATCACAATGAACTGCGCACCGTCTCCCGAAAAGGAGTACTTAAAACTATAGTCCCAAGTTCACTTACAGCCAGACTTCTTAAGTCCGTACACACACAACACCACCATCCAAACATCTCCAAGATGACGAGACTCATCTCGTCACAATATTATTGGCAGAACATGACACAAGACATCGCAAAACAGGTAAAAACCTGCCCCACCTGCCGATTCGCTAGAAGAATCGATGAATCCAACCAACCTTCACGTAAAAATACCGACACAGGCCCCAAAGCAAAACAAAATTCGTACATAAAGCACAGCGTACACACAACACAAACAATGCCAAAATTACACCACCCACGTCAGAGAAACGATCACACATCTCAACTTAAATCAATTACCGCCGACATATCGCTAATAAAACCATTAACGATCAAACAGGAGAACTGCGAACCTACCAATCATTTAAATTCTACAATTAATAAGGTTCAAGCAAATATTTCAAAATCCCCATTTACAAAAATATGGAAGAACATGGGGCAATACCCTATCTTTCATCTGATTTTTATCCTTTGTTCGTTAGTTCTACCATACAAATATATCCCAGTTTTATTTCTTAATTATTCGTTTATCTATACCATGCCCGCTCATAAAATTTTCGAACTACAAGAGGCAGTTTTTAATTTTGGGCAAGCAGTTTTTCATTGTGGACAAGCATTTATAAAACTTCTCATAATTTTAGGAACCATTTGTGCAGAAAATCTAAATAAACTCCGAAGAGATAGAAGTAACTGAAAGTAACAAGATCCGAGTCACACCCAAAAAACAAATAAGCGGAAGGAAGTGAGAATTTTGAGACGCCGCGACAAGGACGTAACGCCCCAGTCCGGATCCAATTACCATCCCTCATTTCCGGCCAACACACAAAAATAGGACACCGCTTTCCCCCTGCCTCAAACTTCTCCATATCATCCCACTTTTTCATGCCACCGATTTTGGATTCCAGTTCGAGTCTGCGTATCGATTTTTACCATACAATTCCGCACGCACAAGACGTCACACACATTTAAATGAGTTCATATTCCTATTATAACTAATCATAATTACTTTACAGACTTCTAACATTTTTCACAACACACACAAAGACAAAAAATTATACACAAAGGTTATATAGATTTCCATGTCTCCTGTACACATAGCATAAACGCGCACTTGCGGGCTAGGATCACGTTTTCACCTAAGTGTCGCTACAGATGAGACAAAAAATTTATAGGGCATAATGGAGCAATCAATACATTTAGATCAGGGCATGTAGATACAAAAGGGTTCAAACCAATACACCTTATTGTTCATATTAATCATTTTCATTATTTTCTCTTAATTAAAATTTAAATATATAATCAATTTATCAATTTATTCAACTTATTATCACTTTTAATCATTAATTATCATTTTTTTTTACCAATTAGTTTATATTATCATAGTTTCAAATCAACGAAAACTCATTGGTTTTCTTTTAAAATTGGATATTATATTTTATTTTGATTTACAAAAACATTCTTTTTTTTTATTTTTTTCCACCATGCAATCAAGCATTCACTTTGATTTCTTCCAACTTTTTATTTTTATTTTTGATTTCTCAAAAGACCTAATAGTACTCCCTCGATTTCCATTCCCAATTTCGAGTAGAGTATAGTTAGGCATTTTTCCTTTTTCTCACCATGCACCAAACATTCACTTTGATTTCTTCCAACCTTTATTTTTATTTTTTGATTTCTCAAAAGACCTAATAAAAATCCCTCGATTTCCATTCCCAATTTCGAGTAAAATATAATTAGGCATTTCTTTTTACCATGCAACAAGCACTTTTCTTTTTTTTTCACCATGCAACAAAGCATTTTTTTTACTCACCATGCAACCAAGCATTTACTTTGATTTCGTCCAACTTTTTATTTTTATATTATTTTTGATTTCTCAAAAGCCCTAATAGAACTCCCTCGATTTTTTTCCAATTTCGAGTAGAAATTAGTTAGGCGCATTTTCTTTTCTTTTTAATCCACTATGTACCATAGCATTCATTTTGATTTCTTACAATTAAAAAATTTTTTGATTTCTATTAATTATACTCAACCTATATCATCAACACCATTCTATTTTACTTCTTATATCACCACCAATGCTTGTATATAACCTCTCAATACCCACAACTAATTTTCCCACAAAATTATTTTTTACTTTACAGAATTCTCTCAGGCTAACCCCTTCTTGAATTCTTCACATGTAGGGGGCGCATCTGTCATAATTTGTATATAATTGTATGCACCCCCGACCCACTATGCATGTACAATGTATGATTTTCAAAGATTTAATAAAGAATAAGGTAACTGGAGGAAAGAAAGTAGCAACAAGACATAGGAAGTAGGCTTAAAGCGGGCACAATTATTAATAACTTGTACAGTCAATACTTCCTGACAGGGCCGGAGGTATCTGGTGACCGCAGAAGTTATAAAAGTTGAGAGACGCCCAATATTTCCGGAGCAGGACCGGACGTATTTGATAACCGCGGAAGTTATAAGAGTCGAGCTAACACCCAATACTTCCTGACCAGGCCGGTCGTATCTTCCACCAAAGAAAGCCGCAGGACCAATTAGAAAGTATCGCCTAAATAGGTCAACCAATAGAAAACGGTCATGTGACATCTCTCGACCAATAGGAAAGAAACTAAGTCTTGGTGTTAAATCGAGAAGCTAGATTTGTCAGTCTTAGACTCGCCCCCACCGAGGTGACATCTGCTCTGGACCTCTCTCCCTCTGCTCATCCCATAGCTAAGTCCAATAACCACCATGTGATCAGATAATTAACAATCAAAACCCGCTCCGCCTTCTCAAGTCTTTCTTTCCTCCAAACCAGTTGCCTTTTTATTTCAACCCATCAAGTGTTCTGGCTTATTTCCCTTGTGTGTAATCCTTGCTTACTCAGCCACCACGACTGCGTCACCACTTCAACAATATGCAACCCCAAGAGTAAGGTTCCCAGCATAGCATATTACCACAGCTATATTGAAAGTCGACAGGATATATTACCACATATATTGAAAGTCGTCAGGATATATTACCACATATATATATATTTATCTTTTCATCCAACTAACTTGCATACTAATTCTGTACATATTTAAATTTCTTTCTTTATTTTCTTTCAAAATTTTTGTTTATGTTTAAAGTGCAAGTGTCCCTAAAAGGACATAGCGCTCTAAGTCGAAATAAAGGAAATCTAGGATATTCTGTTTTGTTCGTTGAGGTGCAGCTTATGCACCACGATAACAAGGGATAGCAGCATGAAACAGGTACCGGATTTTTTTTTTTCGTGATCTATCAAGAAAATATATTCAGCTAATATTCTGGAATAGTTCAAAATCAACGATGATTTAATATTTATTCCAATATAAGGCGAAGCCATCAGAAACTTTCAGTTGCACGATCAATAATACATTTTATTAATTTAATCGTCTCCAATAGAAATTCACTTTTGTTCTAATACTAGCCGAATGACCCGGGCAACGCCCGGGTTTTACCCGATTAAATGCTTTTATTCAAATACTATTCGTTACAATTATAAATTGGCGCCGTGGATGTCATTCTTGTATAATATATAAATGAGTTTTAAAAATTGTAAAAAAAAAAAATGCATCGGAACGGGAATCGAACCCAGGCCGCCCGCGTGGCAGGCGAGCATTCTACCACTGAACCACCGATGGTTATGAGAAATGGCCATATTTGGGTATTTATTCCATTCACAAAGCAAACGGTGACAGAATTGATTAAGAAAGAATTGATTATGACGCTGATAACTGTATATATTAATACAGTTATCAGAGTCATCAAGCAACAATTCTTAATAATCCTTCTGTCACAATAAATACCCAAATATGGCCATTTCTCATAACCATCGGTGGTTCAGTGGTAGAATGTTCTCCTGCCACGCGGGCGGCCCGGGTTCGATTCCCGGCCGATGCATTTTTTTTTTTACAATTTTTAAAACTCATTTATATATTATACAAGAATGACATCCACGGCGCCAATTTATAATTGTAACGAATAGTATTTGAATAAAAGCATTTAATCGGGTAAAACCCGGGCGTTGCCCGGGTCATTCGGCTAGTATATTAATATCATAATAATTATAAAATGAAAATGCGCAATGATGGAATAAATCAATAACACAACAGTTTATAAAAAAACAGTCTTTTATAAAAATAAAATAAAAAACCTGTTACTTAATGTCGTTGTATAAATAGTCAAATAAATAAAATTCTTTTTTCGGATAATATGAGAGGTGTCCCATAAGTCCGTGGCCCGACCATGAGAACGAAATATTAGAAACTAATAAATTTTACCTTATATACCTTAAAGCCTTGTATAAAGATATGTATTTTTTTAAAGTTTCTACAACTAACCTTTTTTTTTTTGTTATAGGTTCTGAAAGAGGACAAGAAACAGGAATCATCTAAAATGGAGACAAACGAGATTCGTGCTGTAATAAAATATCTTTGTAAGAAAGGAACGTCGCCGAAGGAAATCTATGAGGATATGGTGGATAGATTAAGGGAAGATGCTCCTTCCTATAGCACGGTAAAAAAATGGGTAGCTGCGTTTAAATTAGGGAGGATCAGCACCGAAGACGAACATCGACCAGGAAGACCTGTTAAATCAGTTACTCAAGAAAACATCGACAAGATACATGATTTGGTTATGTTGGACAGAAGAATGACAGTTCTTCGGATAGAAGAGACCTTGGGTATTCCAAAAACAACAGTAGTTCGGATCATGAGAGAACACTTGGGCCTCAGGAAGCTTTCTGCCTGTTGGGTTCCCAAACTTTTGACACCCGATCAAAAGGCTGTAAGGAGAAAGTTATCTTCGGACAATCTTACGTTATTTGAAGCTAATCCAGAGGAATTTGTTAATAGATTTGTTACCAAGGATGAGACTTGGGCCCATCACTTTACACCAGAGTACAAGCAACAATCCATGCAATGGAGACACTCCGGTTCCCCTCCCCCCAATAAAGCCAAGACAGTTCCATCAGTAGGGAAGGTTATGGTGTCTGTCTTTTGGAATTCCGAGGGTGTACTTCTTCTAGACTTTCTGAATAAGGGTCAAACCATCACTGGCAATTATTATGCAAATCTTGTGAAGCAAATACGAGAAGCTATTAAAGAAAAGAGAAGAGGAAAGTTGTCCAGGAAGATTGTTTACCATCAAGACAATGTTCCGAGTCATCGGTCACTGCAAGCCATGGCTGCTATTTATGATTCTGGTTTTAAACTTTTACCACATACACCCTATTTACCAGATCTATCTCCGTCTGACTTCCACCTATTTCCTCATTTGAAAAAATCACTTTCTGGCATTCATTTTAGGTCAGATGAAGAGGTCATTGATGCTGTAACCTCATATTTTGAGTCACTTGAAACATCGTTCTTTTTGGAGGGCATAAAAGCATTAGAACATCGCTGGAAAAAGTGCATAGACCTTAAAGGGGATTATGTTGAAAAAAAATCATAATCGTTTTATTAGTCGTTCTCTTTATATGTCGGGCCACGAACTTAGGGGACACCCCTCGTATAATATAATTTTCTCAGTTTGATAAGTGCTGCTAAATTCAAAGTGACTATTATCTTTATTGTATTAAATTACCTTTCATATTAATTCACATTCCAGAGATGTGTGCTGCGCAATTCGATATGCTTAAAATATATCGAAAGAAAAAAGTGGCAATTAAAAATAATATTTGATGATAAATTTTATTTAATAGACACTCATAGACAAAAGGAAGTTGTACCTTTCAGCATGTATATCCGGATTCAGACAATAACTCTAAATGATATTACAGTGACCTTTATTGAAGACATACGAGATATCATACACTCATGGATAAAACTTAAGGAAGTTATACCTTTTATCATCTATATCGGGATTCAGACAATAACTCTAAATGATATTACAGTGACCTTTATTGAAGACACGAGATAACCAAGTGTGAACTACACTCATGGACAAAACTAAAGGAAGTTGTTCCTTTTATCATGTACATCGTGATTCTGACAATAACTCTGAAAGATATCACAGTGACCTTTATTGAAGACACACGAGATAACCAAATGTAAACAAAATTACCTCTTTCTCTTAAAAAAAAACAGACGACGGGTGAAAACAAAGACTTTCAACTTCTTCAAGTTTTGCCAATGAGTGTATATTGCGAATTCTCGTTGGATTATTCACCACTTTTTTCTGTGAAGAACCTGTTCATATTATTCATTCTAAATAACATAAGCTAGGTTGCTTTTTTTGAGCGGTACCTAATTAAGCTATTTTGGAACTGGGACAGGCTTATCACCATTATTGATCCAAGAAGTATTAATCATAGCCGTTTAGAGGAATTATGGAATGTGGCTTAAAAATAAATTGACGCAAGAGAAATTTCGTCTATAACTGCCAGCTATAGAATGGAATGTGCTCAATGTTGGGTCTACCAGCCTCACCTGCAGATGTCGTGGATGCGGCGCATGCCTTCCATCAGGCTGTCGATGTCGGAGGCCAGGCGGAGCTGGGAGAGGTGACGCTGGACCTGAGGCCAGCTGGGCAGGTCGCAGGGTAGCAGCACGTGGGCCATGACGGCTGGAACATGGCACAACATGATCAGATACCATGGATGTATTATTTCAATAGATAGTTGCAACATGGCAGAACATGGTCTGGATGTCTTCTTTAAACAAGATAGTAGGTGTAACATGGCAGAATATGGTCTAGATGTATTCTTTTAACAAGATAGTAGGTGTAATATGGCAGAATATGGTCTGGATGTATTCTTTTAACAAGATAGTAGGTGTAATATGGCAGAATATGGTCTGGATGTATTCTTTTAACAAGATAGTAGGTGTAATATGGCAGAATATGGTCTGGATGTATTCTTTTAACAAGATAGTAGGTGTAACATGGCAGAATATGGTCTGGATGTATTCTTTTAACAAGAGAGTAGGTGTAACATGGCAGAATATGGTCTGGATGTATTCTTTTAACAAGATAGTAGGTGTAACATGGCAGAATATGGTCTGGATGTATTCTTTTAACAAGAGAGTAGGTGCAACATGGCAGAACATGGTCAGAGACCATGGATGATTCTTTTAACAAGAGAGTAGGTGCAACATGGCAGAGCATGGTCAGAGACCATGGATGATTCTTTTAACAAGAGAGTAGGTGCAACATGGCAGAACATGGTCAGAGACCATGGATGATTCTTTTAACAAGAGAGTAGGTGCAACATGGCAGAACATGGTCAGAGACCATGGATGATTCTTTTAACAAGAGAGTAGGTGCAACATGGCAGAGCATGGTTTGGATGTCTTCTTTCAACAGATAGTTTCAATATAGCCTAACATAGTCAAATATCCTGGATGTTTTCTTTCAACAGGTATGTACAATATGGCAGAACATGGATACAGAGCCTGGATGCTTTCTTTAAACAGGAAGTTGCAACATGACAGAATGGTTTAGATATCCTGTATGCCTTCTTTAAACAGAGAGTTGAAATATGGCCTAACATCGTCAGATATCCTGGATGTTTTCTTTCAACAGGTAAGTACAACATGGCAGAATGTGGTCAGATAGCCTGTATGCCTTCTTTAAACAAGTATTTCCAACATGGCAGAATATCTACACAGATACTCTGGATGAATTCTTTAAACAGGTAGTCCAACATGGCAGAATATCTACACAGATACTCTGGATGAATTCTTTAAACAGGTAGTCCAACATGGCAGAATATCTACACAGATACTCTGGATGAATTCTTTAAACAGGTAGTCCAACATGGCAGAATATCTATACAGATACTCTGGATGAATTCTTTAAACGGGTAGTCCAACATGGCAGAATATCTACACAGATACTCTGGATGAATTCTTTAAACAGGTAGTCCAACATGGCAGAATATCTATACAGATACTCTGGATGAATTCTTTAAACGGGTAGTCCAACATGGCAGAATATATATACAGATACTCTGGATGAATTCTTTAAACGGGTAGTCCAACATGGAAGAATATCTACACATATACTCTGGATGAATTCTTTAAACGGGTAGTCCAACATGGCAGAATATCTACACAGATACTCTGGATGAATTCTTTAAACAGGTAGTCCAACATGGCAGAATATCTACACAGATACTCTGGATGAATTCTTCAAACAGGTAGTCCAACATGGCAGAATATCTACACAGATACTCTGGATGAATTCTTTAAACAGGTAGTCCAACATGGCAGAATATCTACACAGATACTCTGGATGAATTCTTTAAACAGGTAGTCCAACATGGCAGAATATATATACAGATACTCTGGATGAATTCTTCAAACAGGTAGTCCAACATGGCAGAATATCTACACAGATACTCTGGATGAATTCTTTAAACGGGTAGTCCAACATGGCAGAATATCTACACAGATACTCTGGATGAATTCTTTAAACAGGTAGTCCAACATGGCAGAATATCTACACAGATACTCTGGATGAATTCTTCAAACAGGTAGTCCAACATGGCAGAATATCTACACAGATAACCTGGATGAATTCTTCAAACAGGTAGTTGCAACATGGCAGAACATGGTCAGATATCCTGTAATCCTTCTTTCAGCAGATAGTTTTGGAATGGCAAAATGTGACCACTGACACCCTTTATGCCTTCTTTCAACGG